CTCCTTCACAAGGAAAGTGCTAGCCCAAAGGTTGCAGCTCCTGTTTCTGGTTCAGTTCCCCACACTGAACTCTCCCAGTTGCCTCTTGCAGCTCAGCCCGCAGGTGTCCTGCAGCTTCCTTCTTCATGATAATGCTTCTTCCCACCCATCTCCTTTGAAGTCTCAAGTCTTACTCTGCAGCATCCAGTAATTTTGTTAATTTCCCGACTTAATGAGGTTTAAAAAAAAGGTTAATGAAGATAGAACATGAAGGAGGATAAGAGACAGGTGGTTTCTGAAGATGTGACAGGACATTTGCAAGCTACCTAAGGAAGAGCAATCTCTAAGATTCAAACATCCTCTTCCCATTCCAAGGTGGATCCTGGAATAGGAGCACCTGAAGCAAAGCTTTCCCGTGACAGTTAATATATCCTTTTGACCAGAACAACCAAGAAGAACAGTCATCAAATTATCCCCTGATAAATACAAGAAAGACTTACCGTTCACCAACACAAGTGAGTGAGGGAGTAGACAAATGAACTGATGTGGGCATCAAAATGCAAACCTTTTTATATGGCGTGAGTGGCGTCACCTCCGGAAACAAGGGAGCCCAGGGGTATGGAGACCTGACCACTAACAACCTGCATAGGCTCCACCTGCACATGCTTTACATATTTGTCTACAGCCTAATTTTTGATGGAAACCTTCTTCCAGGCAAAACGTGATCCTGAGCAAATCCTGCTTCCACCTCCTACATATGTCACGCGGATCCCAATGGGAATGAGACAGTAACTGGAAAAAAATCATGTAAGTACTAGATGAATTGCTTTTCCAGAAAGATTCAGTACACCTGGATATATTCACCTCATTTTTTTCCATAAATACCTGAACAACCTTTGTTGGTTTTTTTTTTCAGTAAAGTAAGAACAGACAGCCATTATTAGGGTACGTGGGCAATTGATCTGATTTACTACGAGAAACATTGCATCCTACTTCTCATAGAAAGAGAGAGCTAATCCTACAGTGTTCCACTAATGCTTCCAAAATACATTGAGATTTCTGCTTCTCCAGTACCTTTTTGGCCACCAAATGTTCTCCACCCACTCCTACCCACTGTTGCCCTATTAGCAATGTTCATACTTGGCAATGCCAATGGGGACACAACTCCAATGGGGACCTCTACAAGCTATTGAGGTAATAAATAGAAAAGGGGGGCACATTTTAAGGCCTATTTTTCATTGTCAGAGCAGTGTAAAGCACTTCATTTTAAACACAATTTAGGCCCAGGGCTCCATGTAAGCTATTGAAGCCATGATACACCACTCAGATACAGCACAGAAAATGCTCATTTCTCCAAAATGTTCCACTCATGGAGATGGAATGTCATCACCAAGTTATGTGTAGGCAGGCAACTACATCACTAACAAAAAAGCTGAATGGGCAGAAAAAAAGCCAACAACCCATTCAGCATCTATGCATGATGCATCCTGTTTATACTGGACACGAGGATCGTGCCGGGGAATGACATTCACCAGCACCAATTCCCTTCTGGTGTTTACATGGGGAACCTGAGTTCCTGTCCTGAGCCCATGTGAGCAGATTTGCATTGCTCCTGACATCCTCCCAGCAGCACCTCATCGTTCATACATTCCTTCCGCTTCTTTCTTCCTTTGCAGCAGGGACGTGGTGCATCACGTGCCTTTTTTCCCCCTAGACTTGAACTACAGCTTTTGTAAGAGATAGGAATCGTAGAATCATAGAACCATAAAATAAGAGAATCAAGAAATCATAGAATCATAGAATCATAGAATCATGGAATCATGGAATCATAGAATCATGGAATCATGGAATCATGGAATCACGGAATCATGGAATGGTCTGGGTTGAAAAGGGCCATAACAATCATCTACTTTAAACCTCGTGCTACATGCAGGGTTGCCAAGGAAGGAATGGGAACGTATAAGGTGTGGTTTGCTCATGTTAGACATCTGTTTCAAGTGAGGGGAAAGACCTATCAAGTAGACCCCGCAGACTGAAAAACATACAGAGAGCAACTAGCTGAGATTCAGTATTGAGCTCAGTATTTTGGTGGAAGAACATCTCCCCATCTCCTCCTCCTGACTCTACCCTCCTCCATGATGCTCAAAAAAGCAGGCACCCTCCAGCACCTCAAGGTCCCCTCACAGCAGCTGCCAACATCACTTATCTCAGTAGGAGATTCTCTAGGACTGGTCTGTTCCATTCTCCACACTTACCGAGGGCTTCAGGCTCGCTTCTGAAATGGTGAGGGCTGGTCCTACCTCTCCCTTTTTGTACCGTGTTATTCTATACCCTATTGTTATATTTGATTAGCAAGAAACTGTAATGAGTTCTGGGAGAAATAGATATTTTAGGAGATATAGATTGATCCACGTTTGTAATACGTGGGAACACCAGAGTGCTGGATTATTATTTTAAATTAGCACTTATTTGTGGATCTCTATTACATTTATGAGCCACTTGGCTGTTTGACTGTTCCCATTAAGTTCAGTGAGTCAGCACTCCGCAGCAATGTCCATTGGTGGCCATTTTGGCTGCACTACTTTGAGCTATTCAGTGAGAAAGAATTATTTCAGAGGCTCCTGAAGACTTTAGAGATAGGACACCCGTGGATTTCTTTGCATCCTCTGCTTTACCCAAGAGCCTCCTAAGTAAGACTTCTTCCTCTGTTGCATCCAGCACTGTTGGCATCAGGGATTTCATACACAACTGGAAGAAGCTTTGTGTCTGTGCAGCATCCCATTCAGCACACCACCCATATTTTGGTGTACAAAGCATTTCCATAGAAAATAAGGATTCTCCCTTCGTTCTTAGCACAGCAAGGACTTCCCTGCATGTTCTCCTGTGATTACATCTTTCAATCTGGGGCTTCATTACACCCGACTTTCCCCTCCCATCATTCCCTACCAGCAGAAAGGTGCTCAGCACCAGGGAGGTTTCCCATGGCCATCACTGGAGTTTGGAAATCATCACATAGCTGAAATGCCAACAGACTGAGTGCAACGCAATTAGCATCACATGAAAACAAGTCGCTTGTCTAGTCCATGCCCCAGGGTCTGTTTGATCAAGTAATGAGATTGTTACTTCTGGACCAAGAGGAACCCCAATCCAGCACTATCCACCTCTTTTCCTGTTTACTCAGGAAGGTGAGTGCTCTGTGAAGAATGATAAGTGAGCAGCTGAATGCCATTAAGGCTGAAAAAGAGGAACTAGCTTTTGCCTTCTGACTATTGCAAATATTTGCCTTGATTTTCCAGCACTCAAGAACATGAATCTGACTTTTCTTTCCTGAATAAATCTGTGTCTCAATCCCTGAGGAGTACATTTCAGAGCTCAGAGTGCATTAGCTGGCCCAGCAAACACTGAAAGCTGTTAATAACTGTTATAATAGTCTCAGAGCCACAGACTTCCAACTATACAGCATTCCATCGAATTTGGGAGCAGGACCAAAGCTAATCCCTGCTTGCACAGTGAGTTTTGGAGGAGCCTTTGAGCCATGCCAGATCTCCACAGAGGGGTAATTAGCCAGCCCTGATTGGCTTGGTGCCTCTGTGGTGTGGCAATGGGACTCAGGCAGCACCTGAGCACTAGGTGAGGACCCTGAGTACTGCCTACCAGCAGCAGAGCTGTGCTCTGCAGGGAGAATGGGACTAGGAGAGGTGAGAAGGCAACATGATTTGCACATGGGCAGCATGATCTGCACGATGCCAGACATCCCATAGCGTGCAATGCTGTGTCCGTGGGTAGGACTGAGCTCATCCCAACTACTGGTCCGGCTAACCCAGACGTGTTAATTGCAGGTTAGTCATCAGCCCCACGCCCTGGGGCACCTTTAAGAGCAAAGCAGTGCATGTCTACAGACAGAGGAGCACCCACGCTGCTGCTCAGTGTATGGGTGGCTGCCTCCCTCCTTCTGCAGTTGCTGATCTCCCTGCAGTATCTGCACCCTGAGAACTGAAGAGCAGTGTCCTTGGCACAAGCAATGATGGGGCTTTGAGTTCTTGGGTAGGTTGCTTATTCTCAGACTTTGCAAACAGATTTAGTGCTAAAGAGGAACCCCTTGGACCCTTGTAAATCAATGTTCATGGAGGGCTACAGAAATTGCCCAGGACACCTTGATCACACTGACAGCATTTCTGCTGAGTTCAGTGACAAGCAAATCCCTGTCATTGTGCCCAGCTGGTGAGATGCACCCATCCACCAGCAGAGATGAGGAAACACAAGTGAGCTCCAACAGGCCAAGTCAGGACCTCCTATACACAGGCAGCAGGGTCATAAGGCACAGTCTCTCAGTCCTGCCCATCTTCCCCCTCATTAGTGGCTCATTTGCCCATTGCTCTGAAGGGAACATTTAGCTCCTCCACTTCAGCATGTTTCCTCAAGACACACAGCATCCCCTTTCCCAGCCAGCGTCTGGGGAAGTCTGGATGAGTGCTGGGTCTCTGGGTGCTGCCTTATATCTTGTCATACCTTCCAACAAGAGCTGCCACTGCAGAGAACACTCTTTTAAGTAGAAATTAAGAGAAGGTGTGAGAGTGGGGGAGTGCAAAAGAGAAGGAGAGCTTGCAGACAGCTGGTGCCAAGATCAAGTGTTTTTATTGCTTCATTTAAGAAAAGGAGATGATGGCGAGAAAGGACAAATTCCTCCAACCACATCACTGCAGAAAAGAACAAGAGAGTCTCTCACCCAGGCAAATATCCTGGGGGCACAAAATCAATTGGTTACATGTTACAAGGAAAGGCATTACTCTTTACATAAATCTATTATATATGATGCAGAATGCAAGGAAAACCATGTGAGGATCTGCCCTTCCTTGGATGGACAGGGCACGAGGAGAGCCAAGAGGTGAGGAAAACAACAGAGGGCTCAGGAGGTCTGCAAACCATTTTCATTCCGTAGCTGCTGGAGCTGCACAGAGCAGGGACACAGCAGAGGGGTCCCCTATCAGCTCCTGTTGTGGGACCACCCCTTAAGGAGCCGTTCACTTGTGGCAGCAGATGTCGGCACAGCTGATGGAGTAGTGCTGGCCACAGATGCTGGCACACAGTGGGGTGGGCCTCACAAAGCAGGGGGCCACACAGGGATCCACACACGTGGAATTGCATTGGTTTGCATCCTGGCAGCAGGGATCTACGCAGGTGGTGGTGCATTGGGTTGCATCCTGGCAGCAGGGATCTGCACACCTGGTGGTGCACTGGGTTGCGTCCTGGCAGCACGGGTCCACACGCGTGGTAGTGCATTTGGTCACCTCCTTGCAGCAGGGATCCACACATGTGGTGGTGCACTTAGTGGCATCCTGACAGCAGGGATCTACGCATTTGGTGGCACACTTTGTCACCTCTGTGCAGCAGGGATCCACACACCTGGTTTTGCAGCCGGTCACCTCCCTACAGCATGGATCCACACACTTGGTCACTCTGCCACAGCAGGGATCTACGCACCTGGTGGTGCACTTGCTCACTTCCCCACAGCAGGGATTCTTGCACCTTGCACACTTGGTCACTCTGCCACAGCACGGATCCACACACTTAGTGGTGGACCTGGTCACACATCCGCTGCATGGATCCACACATCTGGTGGTGCACTTGGTCACCTCACGACAGCAGGGATCCACACATCTGCTGGTGCACTTGCTCACTTCATCACAACACGGTTCCACATACTTAGTGCTGCCTCGGGTTACTGCTCCATAGCAGGGGTCCACGCATCTGGTGGTGCACTTGGTATATCTGCCATAGCATGGGTCCACACATGCGGTAGCACATCTGGTCACAGGTCTACAGCAGGGATCCACACACGTGGTGGTGCACCTGGTCACTTCCTCACAGCAGGGGTCTACACATCTGGTAGTAGTACACTTGGTCACTTCCTTGCAACAGGGATCTACACATCTGGTAGTGCACTTGGTGACATCCTGACAGCAGGAATCCACGCATCTTGCAGTGCACTGGGTTGCATCCTGGCGGCAGGGATCCACACATCTGGTGGTGCACCTGGTGACATCCTGGCGGCAGGGATCCACACATCTGGTGGTGCACTTGGTGACATCCTGGCGGCAGGGGTCCACACATCTGGTTGTGCACTGGGTTGCATCCTGGCGGCAGGGATCCACGCATCTTGTAGTGCACTGGGTTACATCCTGGCAGCAGGGGTCCACGCATCTTGTAGTGCACTGGGTTACATCCTGGCAGCAGGGGTCCACGCATCTTGTAGCACACTGGGTTACATCCTGGCGGCAGGGATCCACGCATCTTGTAGTGCACTGGGTTGCATCCTGACGGCAGGGATCCACACACGTGGTAGTGCACTGGGTTGCATCCTGACGGCAGGGATCCACACACGTGGTAGTGCACTGGGTTGCATCCTGACAGCAGGAATCCACATACCCGGTGCTGCTGCTCTCGGTCACTTTGTAGCAGCAGGGATCCACACACCTGGTGCTGCTGCACCTGGTCACATCCTGACAGCAGGGATCCACGCGTGTGGTGATTCCAAGGCAGCAGGGATCCAAGGCAATCTGCCTCAAGTCACAGCTACCAAGCTTCAGATAGGTGGTGGTGCCCTGAGGAACCCTGGCGTAGTAGCAGGGATCTGCACATGTGTTCAGGCATGAGATGCTGCGGACGGAGCTGCAGGGATCCACGCTCCTACTGACAGGCAAATTCCTCACCAGGACGACATGAGGTGGGAGGCAGGGCTGTCTGCGCTGGCAGTCGGTCTGGCAAAGCATGGCTGAAGGAGGAGGAAAGTCTGAAAGAAGGAGAGGAATACCCTGTGTGGAAAACAGAGGCACTCATCTTTCACAAGGCTGTTTTATGCAGTGAGGTACCCTATACTTTTTCCCTTGGAATACTGAGCAACGTGTTGGGAAAGCGCACTGAAGTCACAGCAGGGCACTAGCTCCACATGGAAGCATCTCAGGTATGGCTACAGTTGCTCACTGCACGTACATCTCAAACTGCTTCTCAAAACAGGAGTGAAAAATGGTGTTAAGCAAACTTTGCCAGATTCTATTGTATGGGCAGAAGGCACAACAGCCTCCACCTGCCCACAGAAGTCTTCAGCTCCTCTCATCCAGACTCCCTTCCAGGCATGGCTTACCCCGCAGCCTGCGAGGCTCCACTTCTTATCTTCCCTCCCACTTTTGTGCCTTTGAAGTCCTTGCCTTGCCTTTTGATCCCTCTCAAACCCAATAATTTCCTGGTTAATACAGGGCAGCACTGTGCCTGGGAAAGGGGAAGGTTGGTCCACTCTCAGCTGCCCTGAGATACACCCCAATGGAGAAAACACAGCAATTGCAAAACACACAGCAAATAGAAGCTGGAAGAAGGTGAAATGGATATTTACCCTTAGCTTAGCTGCTTGATAAGTGCTGCATACAAATCTTACTAAGCAGAAGCACTTGTAACATCTAAGTCTTCTAACTTGCTTCTGCAGGTACCATCCAAAAATCCAATCTCCCCAGCCTTCACACTACATCCCAGTAAGCCAAGAGAGACTTACCCAATTCACCACCAGGAACAAGCAAACGAAACCAAAATGGCTTGGGAAACACTACAATATGAACCCTTTTATACGATTTCAATGTCCGTGTCTCCGGAAGTGAGACACCTCAGGGGTATGGAAATACAATTTTTTAATAATCCAGACCTGCTCCACCTCCAATCCTAAAATTATGTGCTTACATTATAATTTTTAATGAAACCCAGCCACTGAGGTGGTACATGCGACACGATGACAGCTGCCTGCAAGGCTGAATTCCTGATCCACGTATTATGTACGGGAGTTAGGGAACAAACCATTGGTGATACAGCCTGGAAACAATCCCCTTTGGGATTAAACTCATATTTGGATAAATATTACTTTGGTATGTGTTCTCGCACCTTCCACCGTGACACCCATACAGGCCAGGGCTACAGGTAGGATAGCACTGTCCTGTGCAAGCATCCATGCTCTTGCTTCTACACAATATTTCTTTTACCAAAAATTGGAGTCTCCCACGGGCCGCTTCGTGTGCTCCTCAACCAAAGGTAGCACTCCAGCCAGACTTGAACGTGTTGCATTGTGGCAGTAAGGCAGCCAGGGAAGACTTCATGCTGTGCTAAGGCTTTTAATGTCACTTGGGTTCCTTGTAGGACACCTCCTGCCGCAGCCCATCCCTCTGCAGTGACGCTGTAGGGTGATGACCCACCTCCTGCCTTTGGTGCCCTGACCACAGTAGTGCCCATTTGGGGTTTGTTGTGCCCATATCTATGGTGCAGAGGCCAAACCAAGACCAAGACGCACCCTTCATAAAGGATAGCACGCTGTGTGGCACTGCAGCAACACAATGTGGCTGTTGTTCTGCCTGCCACAGTTGAAGTGGAGGAAATATTTTCTCCTTGGAAATCCCCTGGTTATAAATGAGAATGGAGAGCCAACGAGTGAAGTGCCTCCAAGAGATCAAAGACTGAGAATTTCTTCTGTGCTGGCTCCGAATTGGCCTTAAGTCACTTGTGACACAGGCATGGAACCAGTATTACTTGCAGGCAGAGACATGGCCATATATCATCTGGAGACAAAGGAGTGCTCTTGTGTCTGCGCTCTGCCCTCCCTTTACGTGTGTGCTCACACTGCTGAGCATGGTGATGCCCCATGTAGTGACTTTCGGTTACTGAAATTGAAATCAAATCAGGATGCATGACCACTTGGGTTGTCAGTGTTCTGCTGACCACAGTGGTTTGAACTGGCATAATTGAACTGACTTTGGTAAACCAATGGGCTGAATGGGGATGGTAGTGGTCAGTGCTCCTGCCAACCTTCTGCTTTTCAGGTGTGCACCTACACAAGGGTAAAGGCAATGTCTAGGTGGTGGAACAGTACTTTGTCATTCAAGTTGGAGCTCCAGGAGAAGATGCAAAATATCACGAGACCGGTAATGATACAAGAGTTTCCATGAGCATGTCAGGAGCATACAGCCGGTAGCACCGCATCCAAACAGGACACGGGCAGGGACAGAAGCAGGTCAACCATGGCTAAAAAGCAAAGAATCCCCCATATCCCACATGCCATCCAGCACTTAGTGGCCAGTGATGATGTGTTGGGCTGGAGGAAAAACTGAGCTGTGACTGGCCGGCTATTTGCCAGCGAGACAAGAATCCATTCATTTCCCAAATTCTTCCCTGACGTCAGCCCCGCTGGAAGGCCACGTGAATTCACAAAGCCATCTTGGATCACTCGAGGTTATGCTGCAGCCACGGAAATAGCCGGTTTCCATTAAAAATAATTAGTCAAATAATCCATCAGAGGGCAGAGGCGGAGCAGGGCCGTGCTAGGAAGGGCTGCTTGTCTGTGTGCCTGGGGCACCTGTCTCCAGAGGCCAGGCTCCTGTGTGCACACAGCAGATCCCAGGCTGAGGCTGTTGGGTCTGCTCGCCATCTCCATGCGTTGATATCGAGCCAGGTGAGTATCCTTAGGCTTTACACATCTAGGGTGTAAGGCTTCCCCTGAGACAGATGACTGCTGCTACCATCTGCATGATGAGGAATTGCTTGTTAGCTCTTCCATCTCGCTGGTGATAAGAGTAATCGTTTTCTCCCTTTGCATTTTGCTGTAATTCCCACGGATGCTCTGTGAAATGCTTCCTGGTATCCCAGCACTGGATTTAGAGGCAGAAGCCACACAGCTGTCGTGGAAGGGCAAAGAGAGCACAGCATCGCACACAGCAGCAACTGAGGTCCCAGGTAAGAGCCCTGAGCTCCATGCCAGAGACTCCTGGCTCCATCTTGTTGAGCCTCTTGCTGCCTCCAGCAATGAGAAAGGTGGGATGGAGAGGGCTGCATGAGTTGGGTGTTCTGCAAGGGTGTTACAGGGTGAGGAGAAAGCACCTGAAAAAGAGAGGGATAGAGAAAAGCACAAAGCTCTGCTAGGAGTGTTAATTAAATCCATCCTTATCTGCACAAGGAAGGGCTGCTGAAGTGAAATTATTTGGCTGAACACTGACTTTAAACATAGAACTTGGGTTTGGGTGTCCGTGCAGAAATACAGCATAACCAAGCTTCTTTTGGTAAGGAATGCCTGTAGACTTCGAAATAGCAAACATCTGAATTCCCCTCTACTGAGTTTTCCCTCATACCTGAATTACAACACAATCAGCACAAACCTTCCTGGGGAGCCTAGCAGTAAGGAAAACAACTGTTTTGAAAGCATTGGGTTGGTGGACATTGAGTTATTCTTATTTCCTCCAGGAAGGAAGATGTCGGAGCCATGTGAGCAGTCCTGCCTGCCACCTCCTTCCTGTGTGGGGACTGCTGTGCCCACTGACCTCTGCACATCATGCAGTATCGCTGCACACCCTGACACCTGCTCCGCGCAGAATGCATGTCCCTGTCCCGAGCAGACTCTTGGGGTGGACCTGTGCCAAGCTGTGCCCTCCTGCCCTGATGTCTGTGGCCCTACCTGCCCGCCTCCCACTGTCCCTGCGCCTGAGGACATCTGCGACCCCTGCACATCCCAATGTATCACCACCTGTGTGTGCCCAGCAGGGGACCCGTGTGACCTGCAGCAATGCCAGGCAGAGACCGGCATCTTGCTGCAGTCCTCCACCTCTCCAGCAACTGCCTGTGCCCCTGAGAAAGTGGGGACGTGCGTGGAAACTTTCCCCCACCAGCATGCTGTGTCACCCTGCACTCCTGAGACAGATGAGATCTGTGTGGAAACCATCCCTGCGCAGCACCCAGTCTCATCCATGAAGATTTGCACCCCTGAGGCAGCAGGGACGGGCGTGGAGACCTGTCCAAGCCAGCATGGGATCACACCGGTGGAGCTTTGCATCCTCAAGACAACTGGGACCTGCGTGGAAACACCTCCCCTACAGCACCCAGAACCACTCTGCACCACTGAGGTGCTCGAAGCCTGCACGGAGACCACCCCCCCCATCTGCATAGAGGATCCCAGCTGCCCCCAGGCTGCCATCGCTTCCCATCCTGAGCAGTGCCCACTTCCATGCGTGGATCCCTGCACGGCTCAAACCTCGGTGTGCCCAGAGCCCTGCAGCTCTGCAGCCACCCAGGGCCCTGGCAGTGCTTCCAGCCCACGGGCACCGTTCCGCCTCAACACCCGCACTGCTGCCATCGTGGAGCGCTGCCTGGCCCGCTGTCAGAGCTGGCTACGTGGCACCAAGTGAAGAAAGGGCTCTTTGCAGCAGCTCCCCTGGTGAGTTCCTGCTCTCTCATCTGTATCAACAGGCGAGAAAACTGCCTCGCGTTAAATAAAAAATATTTTTCAATCATCGGTTAATTACGCTCCTTATTCTTTATTGCCTCATATGGGCTGCAATAATCATGGCAAAAGTGCAATGCATGTATTAATTGCGTTCGCCAAGCCCCGTTTCATCATCTTCAGCCTTTCTGCTTCCCACATATAAATAACTGCTTTCATAATCTGCCTTAAATTCAGTTAGGATTCTGCCTGTGGGTTTTCTATCATCTTTTTCTAATGGTCTCTTAGATTGAAATTGTTATGAGAATATTGAGGAAAATAGCTCAGAGGTGCGATTTTAGCAGCATCAGAAAGGTCTTTTAAGGAGATATAAAATGACAGAAGGCATCCAGGGTGAGGAAAGAGCAAAGGCTGAACAAAAAACTTGCAGTGAACAGCAGAAGAACAATAGTGCTGAGAAATTGATGTTCCACACAATGCCACACAATGTCCGGTGAAGTCTGGGGTAAAGTGGATGCATAATTAAAAGTTTTCTGCTCATAAAAGCATTCCCCAGGAGTGCAGTTTTCTCTTTAAATATCCACAGCAGTCTTGTGCCACGGGTGGGTAAAGGAGTCATAGAAATACCACGGGGAGAAGGATAAACCAATGCAGCCTGGGCACTGCTGCCTGGAAATGGCATGGAACCGGTGCAGGCATCTACACAGCTGCCAATGAAAGCCATTTTTATTGGATTATGGCTGGGTCTTTAATGTCTTCTGTTAGTGAGGATTGTTCTGCTTCCATGTGTGCATCCAATAAAGCATCCCTACACCTTAGTGTGCTGCATGCGTTTGCAAAGAGTTGAAGCGAGCCCTTATATTGGAGCAAGAATTAAAGCTTAGTGGGTGGAGGGAATAAATTCTCATTAATCTGAATCTGTCATCCATTTGCTTTTTTTTTTTTTTTTTTCCCTCTCAGTAAATAAATCAACAGATTTCATTCTGCCACACCACCAGATTCTCGTGCCTGGAACTATATATACTGCCCATTGTGTTGCAATGTGACTCTTTTACAAGTTAGATTAGATCTGCAGTATTAGATTTAGAGAAAATATAAATCAAACTTGAGTGGAGATAGCCTATAGTAACATAAAAATAACTGAGGCAGAGGATTACTGTTTATTATAATCCCAAACACGCTCTTGCAAAGTCAGACAGGTTCAGCTTATTGCTACAAGACCCTCTTTTGACACCCTATTACTAAGCTGTCCTTCATAAACTGTTGTGCTCTCCCACATCGTCTCAAATAATAACTTCCTTACACATTTGCATCACCCTGGCTGTGCTTCTCCTCCGATCCCCATATCTAGCAATGCCAGCACAGCGCTCCATCCCAGCACATCTGGTGCTCAGACACCCATTCATGGTGCTCAGGGTTTGTTGGCATCATCCTGGCTGCTTCTGAGCACTTAAAGACAACAAAGCAGAGCCTGAGCTTGAGCTGTTTCCTCCAGGAAGCTGCAGTTCCCTTCCCAAAGCTCCATGAGGTGCTCACCAAGATGTCCTCTGGCTCTTCAGAGGACACCATATCCCACAGTTATTGATGGTTTCTTGTGTTTTATATGACAATTTTAACTTAGTTTTTTGCTTTTTTAGTTTCAGTGAACGTGTCATGGAATCATAAAGGTTGGAAAAGACCACCAAAATCATCCAGTCCAACCATTTCTTCACTCAGACAAACTGGGGCACCACCTCCTTCCCCCAGCACCCCATTCCTTTGGCAGTTCTCATGTTCCCCTGCCATGCTCTCCTCTCATCTGTCATTATTCCTGCCTTGTGACAGCTCATCAACATCAGGGTGGAGTTTAATTGGTACAGCTGGAGGAGAAGCATGAGGTGTGATTGTGGCATTCCTAACATATCAGCTCGTCATCTGCCCCTTGCCTACAGAAAGGAAGGGAAAGACAAAATGCCACCTTCTGGAGAGCAGATATCCTTAATTGACCAAATGAACCTCAAGCACTGCCTCAATGGGGGCAGTAAGTAGGAGCCAGGCTGGGACATGGCCTCCCTGTGCACAGTGCTCACATCAGTGTATCCAGGACACTCTTCACGATATACACTTAACAAGAAGGCTTCAGATATTTCCAGGTTGGCTCTGGGTAAAAATCCTACTTTTTTCCCTCTTGTATTCAGGATCCAGTTCAGCATTCATCCAGTTCATATTCAGTATCAGGCAGCTTTGTCCCATGGGCTATGGCTGGCTCCGTCTCCAGCACAGCACAGCTCTAAATTTAGGGAGAGAAGCTCCTGGAACATCCAGACCCAGCACCATCCCCATGCAAACACACACTGCTCTGTGCACAGCAGCCCACAGGCAGAACTGGTAGAGCCTGGTTTCTTCCTCCTCTCCAACATCCAGCAGCCCCACCAAGGGAGAACAGGTCACTTCCTTCTGCTGCAGCAGCACTATTTGTGCTTCTTTTGTCATTAGATTTGTAGAAATTTAGCATTTGTTTTAACCGTATCACTGAGCCAAATTTGGTTGCAAATAATAGGTTGGGATATAACAACTGGAGGCATCAAAACTGTGCTTCTTGGGAAAGACAGGCTGAAGGAAGATCAGCCCAATGTCAAAAGGAACGCTGGTAGTTTCCCCAGCTCGAGGTAGAGGAGAGCAGTGAGCTGGGGCTGCGTTGCTGCAGCACTGCCAGGACAAGAGGCAGCTCCTCACCCTGTGCTGCCACCCCCCCAGCTCTGCTCCCAGCCCTCATGGGGTTCCACGAGGTCACATTTCCCAACACGTCCCCGTTGCCCCATCCCATCCCACAGCCACCTCCCAGCCCTTCCCCATCACTTCCTCTGTGCCTGCTCTGGGTGCTGCTGTGCTCTCTTCTGTTCCAGACAGCAGAAAGTAGGTTCATGCTCCAAAATCCATCACCCCACATTATAGCTTCCTTCTAAAGCAGCTAGCAAAAAGAACAGACCTTTCCCTCTGAAGCACTGGGCAGCAAGGAATCTAACGGGGAAAGGCACTGAAATTGTCCCCATCACCACCACTTGGAGCAGCTGAAGTGAGCGCAGATGATTCACTACCACCACAGCCACAGGAGGTGACTCAAATCCCCACCAAACCCTCAGTCCCGAGCAGAGTGAGCCCAAAGGGAGTGAACAGCCCCATCCCAGCTGCTGGGAAGGGAGAGGGCAGAAAGCAGCTCTGGTTGGGGAGAGGAAGAGGGGTCTCCAAGCTCCTAACACACAGCAGGGAGAGGAAAGCAAAGAGCTCACAGTCTGCCTGGCCTCTGAGTGCTGCCACAAAGAGCAGCCTGGGGTATTGCATCCAGATGTGGAGTCCTCAGTGCAGGAGAGACATGGAGAGTCCAGAGAAGGGCCACAAAAATGATCCATGGAATGGAATACCTCTCCTGTAAGGACAGGCTGAGAGCGCTGTAGGCCTGGAGAAGGCTGCGAGGTGATCTGAGAGCAGCCTTTCAGGATCTAAAGGGCAGCTAACAGGAAAGAAGGCAACAGGCTCTTTAGCAGTGTCTGTGGCAACAGAACAAGGGCTTCAAGCTCAGGGAGGGTAGATTTAGGTTAGATAAAAGGAAAAATCTTCTACAGTGAGGGAGGTGAGGCACTGGAAGAGGTTATGTAGTGATGTGGTTGATGCCTCTTCTCTGGAGACTTTCAAGGCAAGGCTGGATAAAGCTCTGGGCAATCTGATCTAGCTGTGGTGTCCCTGTTCACTGCAGGGGAGTTGGAATAGACGGCCTTCAAACCCTTTCAACTTTAAGGATTCCACGATTCTGCGATTTCTATGATAGAGCTTCTTTGTGCTCAGAAGCTTTCCAAGAAAGTCTCATAGCGGGATGCATCACGGGGGAGAGGTGAGGAGCAGCAGAGCTGAAGCCCTGCACGCCCCCAGCCGTTGTGTGCACTGCTGTGCACGCGCACAAATCTGTGCACGCGCACACCGCGCGCCCTCTGGCGGTGCGCGCTGCGCTGATTCCTGCTGGTGCAGACGCAGAGAGAACACAGGCAGTGCTTCAGAAAACACGGGATAATCTCATCTCACCTTCCTCCTGCTCTCTTAGCTTTATTTTTTTATCTCTAATCACTAAATATTTGC